TTATTATGTATTCTTTAATTATCCATATAAGTTTCAATGAGCAAAATAGTACGCGGGCTGCCTAAAGGTTATATGTGCGGGGATAAAAGCAATGAGTGATAGATGCCTAAAGGTTATTTATGCAGAGATAAACGTCGAAACGTAATAGAGAACCGTAGTTGCACGGTAATTATTAAGCACAAGCCTTAAAATTTCTAGGTAAATATATTTTTTAAATTTTTACTAGTGTACAAAGCATTTTTAAATTAAAACGCGCCAAACTGTATAATAAGTAATTGACGGTTTGTCGGCGAAAACTTATGTACTCGCTTTACAATAATGTTAACTTTTTTCCTAAAAATAATACAATATTAACTTCCTACAGAACGAATTTCGATCAGGACAGCTAGTCTCAACGGAACTAGCCATCTGCGCAGTACAGGAATTATGATTTTAAGAGTGTATGCAGAAGCGCATGTCCACTCTCACAGTCCGTTAGGACGGTAATCCGACATGACCAAGAGGTCCAACGCTTTTCATGCTGGCTGAGGCACCGGCTACTTGCTGACTACGAGCTTGTCGTAGGAAATTCTTAACAGAAAAATCCAATAACTTATTTTGACCCGACCCAAAATTCGAACTTCATCAACATCTGCGACCAATGAGGTAGTTAAATTAGAATCAGTAAATTTAAAAGTAAAATAATGGTATTTTTTTAACTTATTTTGTATAAAGTAAAGCATTCTTAGTACTATATCGCGAGGAGTGGGACTGTACATGATCATTAGTATAAATAAATAGTTTCTATTTCTGTAATACTTGGGAAAATTACAAAAACATTTTTTTAAACTGACAAATGAAAGCAAATGTTTTTAATATAGCAAAAACGAAACGTTTTTAAATACTCGTATTTTTCTATATTCTGTATAAGGCAATAGCTATTTTTATAATAAAATAACCATCATTAATCTCAAATAATCAAAAAAAATCATAATATTAAAATATTGATGCGAATCTGTAGAGTTTAATATTGAATAAATTAAATATATTTAGAAAACGATTGAAACGCTATGTTATTAAACTAAATAAACATTTGAATATTATCCTACACGACTGAATAGGCTGTATGGTTTTACTGGAAATGAGGCATTACATCTCAGTCCTCAAGACTGTCAACGCCTTGGCATTTCAAATTGTAATTGTGGATAAATGTAGATATCTATGTGCCACAGTATCCATTTACCATCAGGTAGAATGTGTGCTCGTTTGTCACCTTTATTCTTGAAAAGAAACCAAAACCACTCAAACTAATCTATCTAACAGATGTATAAATGTTATAAAGTATATATTGACAAAGATATATACGGACAAGTACTATAAACGAGTGGACTGTGCGTTTTTGGTTCAATTGCTTTCGTTTGGGAAATTTTGAGCCCACAAATTAACCTCGTGTATATCCAGTGAAGAAATTTGATAATTAAAAATTAAGGGGTAAAGTATTACGTTCCAAAAATTATGCAGGACTTTTGCATTAAAAAGTTTTCAATTTTTATCAAGCAAAAAGTGTTCAATAAGGGATATTACACTACTAAAGAGGATATAACTGATAACAACATCTGGAAATGAAGCTACCATGTTGTTTCTAAATGTTTTCATACTTAATTTTATTAAATATTATATTGTAGACTAACGTATAAAAAAAGTATTATTAAAATCAATATTGAATAAAAATAATTTTATTCTATTCTATTCTAGGGTCCTAGTGTGACGTTATATCCCCAAAACTCTTCACCGCTGTATTGGAAAACGTTTTCAAGCTACTGGTCTGGAAACGATATGGCATTAACATCAACGGCGAGTACGTCATTCACCTTCGATTTGTCGACTTTATAGTTGTTATGGCAGAATTGCTGGAGAACCTCAGCACTGTGCTCAATGACCTCAATAGTGTCTCCCAATAGATAGGTCTTAAGATGAACATGGACAAAACAAAGATCATGTTTTATGTCCATGTCACACCTATGCCGGTAGTTGTTGGGAGCACTAAGCTCGAATTTGTTGACGAGTATGTTTACCTGGGACAAATAGTCCGACTAGGTAAGTTCAACTTCGACCGAGATGACAATCGACGGATTCAAATCGGCTGGGCAGTGTTTGGGAAACTATGCCACATCTTCTCGTTAGGTATACCTCAAAACCTGAAAACGAGATTGTACAATCAGTGCGTGTTGCCAGTGATGATTTATGGATCTGAGACGTGGTCCTTCACTGCTGGCCATATGAGGATGCTCAAGGTCGCTCAGCAAGCTATGGAGAGGGCTATGCTCGGGGTTTCTTTGTATAATAAACCTAGAATTGAGGATATCCGCAGTAAAACCAGAGTGACCGACAAAGCCCAACGGATTAGTAAGCTGAAGTGGCAATGGGCCGGCCATATAGCTCGAAGAACCGACAACCGATGAGGAAGAAAGGTTCTTGAGTGGCAGCCTCGTACCGATAGGCGAAGTGTAGGGCGACTCCCCACCATCATACATCCCCAGATAACCATTTTCTTCAGACCTTATTTTATATGTGGTAGAGCCAGGCTACAGCTATATTGTAGTTGTAGCACGAATGGGTTGGCTCCACCGGGGAAAGACCACGCTCTCACAGAATACCAGTAGTTTAATGCTGCCATGTGACGTATCGTGAGCGTTGAGAACATGAGAGCCTTTTTACTGGAAATGAGGCATTTTATCTTAGTACTTAGCAGTGACATCGCATTCGATTTTGATTCTTAATCGAAAACAGATGTTGGCGTCTATGGGCCACAGCATCTACTTACCAATCAGGTGACTGTATGCTCATTTGTCACATGTATTTCATAAAGAAAAAAAGAAAAAAAAAATAGAATCAGAGTGCCCATTTAAGCCGCTATAAAGCCACGGCTTTCCACTATTCGTCCTCTATAAGTTTCGATTAACAATGTCTAAAACTTATTAGTTATTCCAGATCCCTACTCACTTAATCCCTTGGTCAGACTTAGCTGTTAGGTCAAATCCATTATGTAAAATAATTTCTTGGTATAGTTTATGTACATAATAGCTGTTCTAAGTAACTTGGTTCGCGTGGAATTTATTACGATTGAACTTCATGGGTATTTTTTTTTTGGCAGAACCCTGATTCTTTTTCTAAAATAATAGTGGCATAAGTGTGTGGTCCAGCCAATTCGGAGATTAGCTGTAACAAACAGACAGACAGACAGACAAACAAAAATTTTGAAAATTGTTTTTTTGTTATAAGTACCGTTTTTTGTTATAAGTATATACTTTTATTAAACCCCCACTGAAAACCCAATAACAGATTTTGGACCGACACGGGATTCAAACCTAGGACCATTTATCAGCAGTCACGCTTAAGACCACTAGACAATCGTATGTAATAAAATCTCGAAACAATTTTAAAATGAACACGTCTTTAAATTTTCTTATACTGGGTTATTTTGCAATTGCCGGCACAATTTGCAGAGAAGGTTCAGAATAAGTAATATAGGCAATTGGCGAAGAAAAATTGATTAACAAAAACATCAAACATTCTGTCCTTTTAATCTTTTAAAATCAAAATGCGAGGTAATGCATTATGCGCACGCACACATTCGTAAGGGTTAATCGGTTGGCAAAATCTTTGTTGCCCATTAATCACATTTAATTACAGATAATTTCAAATAAAAGTAGAAGATTTATCTACAAGTATTTTCAAAAACTGCAATAACGGTATATCATTATTTATATATTTGAACTGAAGTTTAAAGTTTGGCTACTCTTTGAAAAATAACCTTGTATAATTTAGAAAACTGACAATATCAAAATTGGGGATACAGATTGGTGTTACAGTTACGTATAGTCTACCAATTTTGCTTGGTAGTCATGATGCAACTATGTTAGTAGTAAAGTTTTAGCACGAATGGGTCGGCTCGACCGGGGAAGGACCACGCTCTCACAGAATGCCGATGTAAAACAGCAGCTTTACGCTGCTGTGTTTCGTATGATGAGTGTGGAGAACCGTAAAGCATTAACCAATTTTTTACGTTGAATGAGGACTCTGACACATCGCGCGCGGTGCAAGGGGGAGCGCCACCATTTTGAGGTTGCGTCATACTTCCGTTTAATAAAATTTTGATGTTAAGTACACGTATTCACGTAAAACATACGGCCGTGTCCACGAAACCACTACACCCCCATTTTTTTTGTAGATTCGGATCCACCTCTTTCTCTTTAGTCATTGAAACACACGAATACTGTCATAAACCACACGTGAAAAGGAATTCCAATATCGAATGTAACAAAGAAATAAAAATAAATGGACTCAGCCTGGATAGCGCATTCCGAGGATTCTCCGTTTGTCTAGATGCGTGGTTGTCCGAGTTCTAACCGGGAATGCGAAGCGAATGAGCTCCAATAATTCTCTCGCTCGTGCCTGCATCAAAGGACACGTAGTTTTTTATGTCAATTATAGAATAATATGTTCTCTTATGGCGGTCCTAAATAGCGCTTTAATTTATTTAAGCATGTAAATCCAGAAATACCTTTCTGGACTGTTTTAACTGTTAACAATTAGCAGCCAACCTGTGAATTAGCTTTTGCTGACTGCATGTTTTCCTGTTATAAAAAGTCAAACGAACTTATAATCTAACTCGTAGTTTTTTTTAAATAGTAAAGTTTACAAACGGGCGTACAGTCCACCTGATAGTAAGTAAATGTTGATATGTCGCTTCGATTGGGAATCAAAATGCAAATAAAATTATTAAACCAAAATAATACATCTAAAATCTTAGACTTCAGTGTCTTATTTCGGAAAGCGAAGCCGATTAGTGTTCATAAAATTATTAAAAACTTAAACTCAAGAAAGGTACCAGGTGCTGACAATATTGCGAATTTTGACATTAAAATGATAGGGGAATATATTTCCCCAAGCATTTCTGACCTAATTAACAGTAGCATTAAAAGTGTTTTGTATCCTGATCAATGAAAGAAGGCTGTCAGACCTGTGCATAAGAAAGGAAAACGTGATGACTACTTAAATTATCGCCCAATTACATTACTTTCGTTAATTGATAAAATTGTGGAAAAATTCATAGGCGAGCAAATACATATATTTTATAGGAATAATACTGTAATAAGTCCGTATCGGTTTGGTTTCCGATCAGGAAAAAGTACAACTGCTCTTTTATCAAAATTCACTGATGAAGTCAACAGTTACCTTAATGTAAAAAAAGAGGTGCTAGCCCTACTTATTGACTTCTCGCGTGTTTTTGACACAATGTTATATAAGCAGCTTGTGGACAGTTTAAACAAATGTGACGTACGTAGTCCATTGCTTAATTGGTGCCATAATCACCTGAAGAACCGAAAATCTTTTGTGAATATTGAAAACAACTACAGCGAGCAGATGTTGATGACGGAGGGTACGGCACAAGGTTCGGTACTAGGACCATTGCATTTTTTGTTCCACGTCAACGATATGCTGCATCGTCAATTGCACGTGCTACCAGTTTACAGATGACACTTGCCTTCTAATTGGTGATAAAAATCCCCAAAAGACTTGTGTCCTTTTTCAGTCTGACCCAGATATCCTAACAAGGTGGTAGCATGATGCTGGGCTTGTCCTTAATGCTAGCAAAACTAAGTTGTTAGCAATTAAGTCTCCGTACCTAAAACCCACTTCAATTTAAATATTAGTCGCACACAATCACATTTACTTACATAATAATAGTAATGCTAAATTTTGCTGCCCAGAAATCGATACAGTTGACACACAAACGTACCTCGGACTAGTTATTGACAGTAAATTTAATTGGACCCAGCATATTGAACATGTACGTACTAAACTAAGACAGTTTCTAGCAAATATTATTATTATCAATAATCTAATTCCATTTAAAATAAAGTTAATGTTATATAATGTACTTGCGGAGTCGCATGTTCAATACGGGCAAAGTAGCTACGGCCGAACTTACAAAACATATCTTGACTCATAATTTACAAGCAAGTATACTTAAAACCATAGTTGCAAATAAAATAAAAATATATTCCGGGTTGACGTCAGTGGTTTTTTCAAACACTGTAAAATTTTACCAATACATATACAAGTATTAAAAATATTATTAAAAGAACAATTTTTTAATGAATCGCTAAGAATACCGATTGAACATTCTGTATTATACTCGAGCAATTTCTAAGAACCGTCTCATCGCGCCGCGTGCTAGCAATGCGTATGTAGGGTGATTGAACATGAAGCTACTTTATACCTCGGCTTATCAATAACTGGCCAACAGAATTGTTGGATAATATCACTAAAAATAACATTAAATGTAAGCTAAAGAATCACTTCCTTAAGTTATTATAACATGTATTCTCTTTTTTGTTCTGATTGTTTGCATCTTTTTTTTCCATGTTTTTTTTTTCATTTTTATGGTATCTATAAATACAATATTACGCTATATTATCTTATAAAATTGTAACCTTTCGATAGCTTAGGTATAAACCTTAGTAGTTTCTTATATACTATCACTATATATGTGTAGGTAATGCTTGTTCATGTGATAAATAAATGAAAAAAATAAAATTATTACGTGGTAGAGCCATACTGCAGCTATATTAATAGTATAGTTGTAGCACGAATGAGTCGGCTCGACCGGGGAAGGACCACGCTCTTACAGAATACCAGCGTAAAATAGCAGCTTGATGCTGCTGTGTTTCGTATGGTGAGTGTAGAGAACCGGAGACCCATTTTTCTGGAAAAAGAGGCATTCTATCTAAGTCCTCACGGCTGAAAACGCATCTGCATTTTAATTCGCAAACGAAGATATATGTAGATGTCTATGGGCCACAGCAACCACTTACCAACAGGTGGACTGTGTGCTCGTTTGTCACCCTTATTCTATAAAAAAAATGAAAAAAAAGTAAAAAGGATTTTCGGCTCTCTACACTCACTATAAGAAACACAAGAGCATTAAGTTGCTATTTATTTGCTATTGCCATCTGGGTAGCTACCAACTTCTTCATATATTTCTGCTGTCAAACAGGTTGTGTTCTTGTTCCGTTATTTGTGTGCGCGTGTGTGTACGTGTCCCAGTGCGGTCCCATAATTACAGGTTGTGAGGAATTCCATCTTAGTACTCAGCCATGATATCACTTCCGTAGCCTTCTTTGTTTGAAGTTGATTTCAGTTTGCAGTTGTCCGTGGGCTTCCATAGCCACTTACCATCAGGTAAACTTAGTTCATTAATTTCTTCCATTTTATAAGAGAGAAAAATGAGGGTGTAATGTTTAGTACAAAATCTAATGGCATACGACAAGTGAAGCATAAATTATTTTATTCCTCGCAAGACGTCTTTTTTAATATTATAAGCCAGCACTACTATCTCATCTGATGGCAAGTGGACTTAACAAAAGCCACTTGATAAAACCCACATTGTAATCGGGTGGAAAGACGGATGCTGGTAACTTATTTAATTCCTTTGCTGTACGCATGATGAATGATGACGCAAATCAATCTTTGTGGAATTGTTTACCACCGGCGATTTTTCTGGACCAACTCGACTTTGAGCTAACTCTTTTTTAAAATGTCGAATAATCAACTGCAATCCCCCTGTTCTTGCAGTTGTTCATGGCCGGCGGTCGACACTTACCATCAGGTGAGCCGCATGCTCGTTTGCCCCCTCTTCTATAAAAGTAAATAAATCGCTTTAGCAGTTTCCAAGAAATCGGTGAAAAAATAGACATCGAAAATAGACCCATTTCACTATTTGAACTTGTTTAAAAAATGAACTGGTACTCGATTTAAGGATCTTTTTTGTTACTCTCCCAACTTTGCAGACAACTTACTTACATAGTACTTCCCGTAACACTCAGACGTTGCCAACACAGGTCATGTACTTTATAAAGTACATAAGTTATTATTGTCTCAATTATTTTGATTCATACTCCAATAAGTTTTTATATCGATGTTCGCTGTTTGGTCAATATTGCTAATATATTACGTAAATATAAGGGACTCATCCGTATATAAAACATGATTGTATTTGTCTACTTGAAACTCTCTTCAAGCTTTCATCTTATGTACAATATATCATCTATAATCATAGATCTGAGACGTGGTTCTTCACTGTTGGCCGTATGAGAAAACTCAAGGTCGCCCAGCGAGCTATGGAGAGGGCTATACTCTGGTTTTCTCTGCGTGATAGACTTAAACATGAGGAAATCTGCAATAGAACCAGAGTTACCGACATAGATTAACGGATTAGTAACCAGAGGTGGCAATGGGCCTGTCATATAGCTCTAAGAATCGACAACCGATTGGGAAGAAGGTAGGCAAAGTGTAGGGAGGCCCCCGTGACGGCGTGAAGACCTGGTAATACAAGCAGACCGTGCTTAATGGGGTACGCCTATATTCAGCAGTGGATGGGCTGTAATGATGATAATGATGATGATGATGATATCACCTATAATAAAATCATTATAGGTGAGCCATTTTCGCTGAATGGCTGATCGTTCGCCGCAAATTTCACAGTACGCAAGTAATATGGGTTGGTTTCTCGCTGGCACCATATGATAATGCCGTGAGGCGAAACAATATCGGTTTTTATAATTAGTATATCAATAATTTAAAATAAATAGATTTTGTGACTAGGATTAAGAAAGGAATGCTTCGGTTGTTTGGTAGAAAGAATGAATGAGGAAAGAGTGACAAAGCAAATTTATGTTGCAGAGGTGAATGGCAGAGTCGGGAAGGGACGCCCTAAGCGAAAGTTTATCGACCAAATTGGCGATATATTGAAAATGGGCCAAATTAAGAATACCCTCAACCGACGAGCGTGTATGCGTAGGTCTATGGATATGGAGGAGGCGAGAGAGGTGTGTCAGCGTCGTGCCAAATGGAAGTCCATAGCCTCTGTCTACCCCTCTGTGTGACAGGCGTGAATGTTTATGTTTTTATCTTAAAATAAATATTAAGAAACTAGTACAAGATTTCTACAAATCACAAGAATTAAACCGGAGTTTTACCGAATGTCAACAATCGCTAGTATGAATTATAAAAAAATTTAAGCAAAGAAAGCAACAGATGCGTTGTCGCCTCTGAGGACTAAGATTGAATGCCTATAAGCCTGTAACACTTGCTCTCTATACACTTCAGATAGAAACACAGCATTGCTCGCATTGATACTTGGCAGCAGAAATAAGAGAGATGATCCTTACAGACTTCTAGACAAAAGGGAGTACTAATACCTAGTATCTTGGACACCATGTAACATTTTTATTTATTTATTTAAGCTTTCATGCACAAAGTTGTACATATGGCGGACTTAATGCCATAGGGCATTCTCTCCCAGTCAACCATTAGGCTAAACAGAGATATACAAACAAGAGGCGGTGCAGCAGTAATCAAAATAGAAAGCGCTAAAAGAAAAAAAAATGTATATACATATATACATATAAATATACTTATACACACACATACATAGACATATATACTTAAATACACACAATATATACATATATAAATACATACATACACATATACACGCGTACACTACATATATACACAATACTTATAAATATTATCTATCTCAGAACAAATATGAAATATACATATGTGTATGAAAATAAAAGTTATGTTAGTTCAAACATGCAACAAATTTTTCACATGCTTACGGACTTGATTTTTAAAAATAAACTTTTTGAAAGCTTTTACATTTTCTATAATACGAAAAATAACTAAACTACCTGGAAAAGGAAATGAAGTACCTACTGCGATTCGATTCGATAAATATGTTTTTTTTTAGAGATTCAGGTTTCCTCACGATGTTTTCTCTCACCGCCTAGAACGTGTTATATCAGAATTTAAAATTGCAGTTACCAACTTTAATTCCGCAAATGAATAATTTTTGCGTGCACCTAATCGATCTTGATGATTGCGGCAAATCATCTTTAATTATGAGAAAGTTCCACGTCTAGACGTAGATACTTTTCGAGCTAAAACAGAAATATCTAGGAATTAACTTTTAATTCGTGCACAAACAGTATGGGAAATAGCATAAGTGTTGTAACAAAGTCTGCTTATTTGTTCACAGTAGTGTTGTGTTGTGAGAAACTTTTGTTTGCACTACATACATTCGAGTACGTTGAAATCAAGAAACTTTGTCGAGGAAATATCTGTTTTCCTTTATAATTTTATGTGATTATAATATTTATTTTTAAAGTTTTTTGCTCATCGAGGTTTTTATGGTAGATTTTTGAAGTTAAAACTTCTTTAGAATCGTTGTGATTTGAAACTCGATGAAACGAAAAAGCGACTATAAAAAGAGACAAACATATACATCTATAGGATTTAACATGCGAGAGAATAAAATGTTTGCTAATATCGTCAGAAGTCTGTGTAATATGTATCTAGAATAAAATTTTAACTAATTTTTAAACTTTGTAACAATATTAAAATAAATAATACCCTGCAATTCCTAATCCTGATACTCTGCATTCGTCTCATTCTCTCAAAGTTTAGTT